TGTTCATTTCATTGTGCCAGGGACCATTGTCCAGCAATATCAAGCATGCCTTCCATTAGACAAGTACCGGCAGCTAAATGTACTCAAAGGTAAACAACGTTTTCCGATGTTTATATCAATCATTTGAGATGCCATACTTTAAGAATATATTCGTTTGGGAAACAAAACTTTAAACTAATCGTGGGGCTGGGAGATATTTCTCTTTCTCGTGTGTCTAATGCCATGCTAATTGTCGCTTATCTGAGCAATATAATGTACTAAGTTGAGCAAGTAAAGATGGTTTGTACATATGCACCTTTGACGGTTGGTCTGGAAGGAAGAGATAGCATTAAAGTATATATCAAAACGTAAAGCACAATGTTTTGCTGACGTATGCTTTGTCGAAGGTTTTAGATTTTATATGAAAAAGTGCCAGTTTCTAATCAACGATGTAACAAATTGCTATTTGAACATGTCGTGAAACTTAAACATAAAAGCATTAGTAAGTAAAGAAAGAAAGAAAACATGACATACATTAAAACAATTTTGGCTTCCTAAGTATATCAACAAGTTTAATATAAAAACCGAACACGAGATGCCTAAAAGAGTAAAGTGTCAAGTTTGACACGTGGAGGATCATACCTGAAGAACCATTTAAAACAACGGATTTTGAAGTCTGGAATTATTAGCATGGCTATTTGCTGGATTCGAAATAAAAGATATTAGGAGATTTATGGCGGATGCACACGGCATACTTGATCAACACCTTTGTTTCTTCGTAATTGGTACCATCCGCAAGGCAGGGACTTTTTTTGTTATTATTGTTGTTTTTGTTGTTATGTGGCTTTTGCTATTGAGTGGATTCTACAAACCCCCGAAAAAATATTCATGCAAACACAATTCTATACATCCAATATGCAAATATACAGAAAAAGAATAATTGCAGGCCACAATAGAAAACGTGAACTATTACAGATGAATCATATATCTTCCAAGTAATGTATTCAAGCAATTTCTGTGAAGATAAACAAATTCGCATTGGTGTATCTTAAAAAAGAAGGAGTTTATGAAGATGATTATAAAAACTCAGTTTGTTCCTAAAGAGCACCTGCAGTAATGGTCTGGATAAATCAGAAACAGAAAAGCAATTTTGCTCGATCCTTTTACACCAACACCATTAAATAGTACTTAGGGAAAGTGAATTTGTTGTGGGCGGAGTACGAGCTATACGCACCGAGATTATGTCATAAAACTAACAGAGAGACAAGCTTTACTAGCAACGGGGAGTCCATTATATGAACAAGGCTGTTTTATATTAACGTCAGAAATATTGGAAAACTATTGATGCATTCTCACTTTGTTCAACATTTATACTGAGGAAAAGCGAAAGACAGCCTGAAGAAATGTCAAGAGGCAAGTGTTTAGAAAGATAAAGAAAACTTTAACTTTTGATGTCATTAAATAATGTTGTTTCACGCAAATTAAGAAATAAAAACTTCATTTGGCAGAATCGTAAATTTAATTATTAAAGATGAAATGGTTGTTGTTATGCTTATTATTCTTGAAGAGATAATGTATTACACATCCCATAAAATCACGCGTGTCAAATTATATATATATATATATATATATATATATATATATATATATATATATATATATATATATATATATATATATATATATATATATATATATATATATATATAATTGTGTGAATTATTGTGCATATGTTTATTTTAGTCCAATCTTGTCATATTGTGTTAAATGTCGATTTTTTTTGTTGCGTAACCCAAAGTTTCCTTATAATGTACCTCTAAAACAGTATACAGAAATATATGAATCGAAAGGTCTTAATCCATGGTTAGTCTGTCATACATATAATATTATACTTTATTCGTCATGTCTGACACCTACAAGTGGACATTGAATTTGTCAATATACAGAGATAAAGAGAATGAAAGCCTATATTAAAATTAAATTTGGTATGAATCATTTTTGCTGAGAATATTCAAACCCTTGTTGAACCAAATTCAATTATTAAATAAAGATATCACACGAGTAAAAGATCGGCTCTTCAGAGAATTTCCATCGCCTGACAATCTGTCCAATCTATTCATTGGACAACAATATTATATAAAACTCATCCGACGGCCTTTCTGTCTGTATTATAATACACAGATTATTGTAGTTCATCTTCATTCAATAGATGTAAAATCGTTCGCCAGATCTTTATTAAATACAAACTCATACAGTTTCAAACATGATAGAATTTAATGGAGATCTCCGGATAATACAATATGTAGAGAATAGGCGTTTACCCTCGCACTTGTACGCGTCAATAAACATCACCGTGTTTGATAAGATTAGCGCGATTCCTGTCACTTTCGATTTGAAGCGCAGTGGGATTCCATATTCCGTTAAAAAATTTAGGCACTGCGACACAAATCATAGGGAACTAACATGTTTTCTGACAATGAAATTGGCAATACGGCCGCGACTCTGTACGGAGATTGCCATTTACAAGAAATTGATTCTTCAAACTTGAATGGTTATAGAATTAGAAATAATGTGCGATCATGTAAATTGTACAATGTACTGATTAGTTATAATTACGGCCAGATGGTCTATATTTTGTTCGCCATTCCTAAATCAAGGTGAAGCCACGTACATAAAAATATGAAGCAACTCTCAAATCGAACCTAAATTAATGAAACATAATGAAGACTCAGAGAGAGAGAGAGAGAGAGAGAGAGAGAGAGAGAGAGAGAGAGAGAGAGAGAGAGAGAGAGAGCACTAAGAAGGGATTTATATAGACCAACATATGTTTAGACATGAAATTGTTTTGTCAAATATTTAAATACATAAACAAGACACTAGAGGGCATCATGACATCAACATCTCAACTAATGCTAGCTGCGTGCTTTTGAAATTTGATAATTCAACAATGTGATTAAACTTTGCGTACACGAAATTTATGCGATATATAATTTGATTAGAACATTTTTCTTGCTTTGAGCTATTTCCTTAGGCAACCCATACCTGAGTTTGTCCCTTTGATAAAGTTTCCCTTTCTCAAAATCTTTGTCTCTTCCTCTTCATACGCCAGTGAATAATTATTTATATGACTATCATGCAATAAATACATTTTGATAAAAAAATTGTCTTATTGACAGATAAATATTTACCTTTTTGACAAAAAAACCTGTAATTACATAAAGGATACACTGACAATATTCCCTGACATCCTGTTGGAAGGTTTGTGTAGTTGTATAGAAGGCAAGAAGTATAACAGGATATTCATAATTTGATTAAACTTTTTCTTTCTTATTCTGTACAATCTGTTAAATTGGGAAAGACCTCACTAGCTAGCTTCATATCAGCTGATTAATTTATGTCATTAGTTGTTATCAGCAACGTCGAATCAAAAACCTTTGATTCTTTGCGATAATCATTCTCTCTCTTATCGCTTCTGTCGCTTATTATTTAAACGACCAATAAAATGAAATCGTACTATGTTTCAGAGATAGTCTATAGATGAAACAACATTGACATCAGGTAGACCATTTTGATTTTCTCCCGCAGGAGAGCTCTCTACAAACAAAGATAATTGGGGGCCAAGAAGTCATCCTCTCATTACACAAACGGACCCTTAGCCAAGTTTATTGCTCATAAATTTACGAACAAAAATTTAGCCACAATTCCTGTGGTCATTTTAACAATCGATTGCCTGTGGCCAAGCAGCGGGTCAACTATAGAGGTCATGGGAACAACCCAAATTTTTCCAAGCGACGTTTAGCCAACACCGGACAATTGCGGGGGACGAGCTTTAAGTAACTGAAAATAAACCTCCCCCTCCACTTGATAAAGTGGACACGAGTGGGTGAAAGAGGGTAGATCCGTGGATGGAAGAAAGCGTTAGGTGTTTTGCGAAACCGATGTTTACGTTCTTCTAATCACAGTTGATTTGCGATTTTAGAAATTTAAAGAAGATAGAGATTCCCTTGGAAATGTTTATGAGCCTTGTGAGAGCCTGTTTAATTGCATATTAATGTGACAGCCTGTTTTATTGCTTATTAATGTGACAACCTGTTTAACTGAATGTTGTTGATGTAATGTACAGGTGTGACGCATTCAAAGTCAATCTAAACGAACGACAGGTAGATAAACACACACACACACACACACACACACACACACACACACACACACACACACACACACATATATATATATATATATATATATATATATATATATATATATATATATATATATATATATATATATATATATATATATATATATATATATATATATATAATGGGTCATAAGAAATAAACAGACACACAGAAAGTTTGAAACAAAATTAAGTGAAAAGTAACAGATCAGCTGATTGAGAATTGAGAAACTAGACAATAATATAATTTCAAATCATGCATTGGAATAAATTATTTGATATGTTAACATGTACATGACTAGCTTGCTAACTAAATGATGCTAAAACAATTGATATAATATGTTATCAAGATGTCCGTACGTATGTATGTGTATGTGTGTGTTTGCATGTGTGTGTGTTTGAATACATGCATGTAGGTATGTAAGAAAGATGAGATAAAAGTTCTAACAATATGTCTGACATTCTAATTAATGAACCTCCTTCAAAACTATATGAAACAAAGGACATAGTCATCAAAATAAATAAATAAATAAATAAATAAATAAATAAATAAATAAATAAATAAATAAATAAATAAATAAATAAATAAATAAATAAATGTGTGTGTGTGATTTGAGATTTAGCAACGCTTTAACAAATTTTCAGTCATATCACTAGGATGTCTGCAGTGTGGCAGTTTATAGTGATGTGTAGCACTGTGACATCATGCCGCAGACATGTAGCATGATGTCCCACCCAGTCAAATTATCCTGACACCAGGCCGATCAGTTCTAACACTAACCTCTTAATGCTGAGCGCAAAGCGAGGCAGCTGTTAGTTCCATTTTTATAAGTCTTTGGTATGACTCAGTCCGGGTTTCAAACCCGCGACCTCCCTCATCAAAATCGGACGCTCTGACCACTAGGCTACCGGAGCGGTCAAAATAAATAAATAAATAAATAAATAAATAAATAAATAAATAAATAAATAAATAATATCTTTAATTGATATAACTAAAACAATAATATCATTACTAGAATATAACTAAAACGTAAATAAATAAAGAAATAAATAATATTCTTTGTTGAATATATATATATATATATATATGAATAAATAAATAATATCATTTCTTAAATATAGCTAAACTCGAAAAAATAAAGAAATAAATAAATAATATCCTTATTTAAATAAAGCTAAAACTTGAATGAATGAATGAATAAATAAATAAATAACACCTTTTCTTGAATATAACAAAGTTAAAATATGTTCTTAAAATAATAAAATGTTGCGAATAATAGTAGTCTATATAGTAATGTCAATGTAGACGATCCTCCTGAGGGAAATTATCTAAGCTTTGCTTGTTGACAATATTCCAGTAATAACAATTTAAAGCAGCATTGAATGCACACGATAAGCATTGTTGTTAGGCATCATAGTTACGTAATCACATTGCAATAAAACTGTATGTACAAAACTGTTCAGTGTTTATTACAATCATAATGTTGATGGAAGCGATAACACAAAACATTTGTATAAATTACTTTGTCAGTCCTTGTTATAAGCCTAGCGTTGTCAGTAATTTGCATCCTTTCCGACTGAGCTGTACAAGACACCTGCAAATGGTTGATCTTGGAGACGTAGATATCATCCTACCTACTTTATCGGACTGAGCCATCATTCCAAAGGCTACAAATGCCTATCATGTGCCAGATCGACCATTCGTCATCATTAAATTGACGGTTTTTGCTTTAATTGAGTTGGTTTATTCCGTTTTAAATTAAAATCTGTTCCACCAATTAGTAGGGTGGGCGTTTTATATAGCCGAAAAGGATAAAAGGTGCTATCGCTTAGATAAGAATATGTAACTCTTTCATATAATTCAGAAGAACAAAAAGTCCGTAGATCTGATTGTTTATTTTCAAAAGGAATTTTGCAGCCAATAACAAAGAAAAAGAAAGTTACAAAAAAGAGATTTATAAAAGACAAAAAAATATGCATAAAATTCTGGAAATATATTAATGGTAATTGTTCATGCTGAAAAGGGACACTAACAGTCAAAATCCAAAGTTTAATCCACAAAAAGATCTATTTCGGAGCAAAAAGGATGGAGAACTTTTATTTTTTTTAATAAATAAATGAAACAAAAGTGTTTGAATGTAATTTCAAATGCTGAAAAAGAGTGATTGTGTGTGTGTGTGTGTGTGTGTGTGTGTTTAACGTAGCTTTAAAAAAATTTCAGTCACATGTCTGTACTGTGACAGTTTGTAGTGATGTCATCGTGCTGCAGACCTATAGCATCAAGTCCCATCTTGTCACATTATCGTGACACCAAGCCGACAAATCCTAACATTATTCTCTTAATGCTGAGCTCCTCTCGAGGCAGTTGTTAGTATTATTTTTATAAGTCTTTGGTGTGACTTGACCTGCGTTCGAATCTGCGACCTATCGCATTTGAGTCAGTGGTAATAAGTTCAAGGCCAAGACGTGTGATAGGGATGATATAAACGGAGAGGAGATTTTGACTTGGCTAGAATGTGATAACTAAGGAGAAAAACAAATATACTAGAAATGGTTGTACAATTTTTTAATGATTGTACAATTTCTAAATGAAGTGTACAGTCAGGAATAAAATTGCCGAAGAACTGAAGTATGTTTGTAATTGGATCTTGAGTGACACACACACAAACAATTGAATCTACTATTGAAGATTGTTGCTTATCGACGTCCAAGTGTTTGTCACAACCTTATTTAGATGACCATTATATGGTGTTATGTAAAAATACAAATAATTGCAGCACAAGTCTTATGTTACGAAAATGTTGGATTACATTGGTTATATTCTTATCAAGTTATAATGTCTCTGTCAAGCATTTATTTCATCACCAAACATGTGTCCCAGTCTGTGTTTAATGTTTTATTGTACAGTGTATCTTTATATTGAAATGATAGGGATATTTGATAGAGTCATCATAGAATTTTCTCCAGGGAATTTATACTTCTGGTCATCATCTCTCTGAATTACACTGATTGTTCCAATTCATTCTGCATTAGTGTCGAGCCTTTTATTCAAACTGCAATCTCAGAGAATCGAAGCAATCCGCGTGATGAGGAATTGTCCCTTATATTGGCTAATTAAGGGCCACGTTTGTAAGACCCTCATCAAAACTTCTTTCTATCCCCTTCATATCAGTTAATCCTGCTAGATTACGCCACTTATGGGTAATTTTCTGCAATTACGGACCGTCGATTGCAGCTTCCAACATGGCTAAGTATCGGATTTGTTTTCCATTAATTGGAAAGTTTCTAAATAGAAAAATATTCAAGACAAGATAACTGGAAGTCAATCATTACTCCCGAGCTGGCAAACCGCGGATTGTTGTCTTTTAGCATGGTATTCTATCTTCATAAATTGAAATCGCTAGGTCATCTGCGTTTAGACTTGTCATATTCATACGCTTTCCAGGTCCGTGAGTGCCACGCGTCTGTAATGTCTAAAAAATTAATATATCTGCTTGTCATATTCATACAATTTCCAACACCACGAGTGCCACCATCTAATAAACAACTATATTTACTCATTGGCATGGTATGTATACCATCGCGCGCGTGAGTGCATGCAATGGTGCGCGTGCGTGTGTGAGTGCATTTGTGTGTGTGTGTGAAAAATTCCCAAAAAGGTTGTTTATCGGACAACCCACCTCTGATGATACAAATTAGTAGATTTAAATATGCATTATAGTTAGTTGTAATAATTATGATAGCTTACCAGCCCAGATTGCAATTTAGTTGAATTAATTATACCATCTTACCAGCCCAGATTGTAATTTCTGACGAGAAGATCCAGATAGGTATCATTAAAAGAAACAACAGTGTAAAGCAAAGAGTATCGAAGTATGGTTCGGAACTTAGTCAAGAGAGCGGTGGTATGCTATGAAAAATTATGAAACATTTGTCCACTGGGCATGCGTGACTGTGACCGACATTAGTTTTGTTTACATGATTAATTTATGAGTGCTTCGGCTGACAAAATATGTCCGCACGTAGAACAAAGTCCTTTTTGCATCATGAAACTGCATTCATGAAGGCCATAAATGATATGTTTAATTTCGAATTGCAGTCACAAATGGAGCAGCTAGAACTTATAAGAAATGGCGCCAAAGAAAAAAGTGTCATAGTCACACTGGCTCCAAAGTAGTAGTATCAGATACTTGATTGAAAATGAATAAAAAAAGGTTTCGACAGCAAATATTTCTTGAACAATTGGATATATTTACGTGGATATGACATGCATTTGGGTCACTAAGGACGGCGCCAACAGTGTTTTAACTCATGGTTTCACCACCATGGACCTCATTCCTGCACAAAATTCTAAACTTTTATATAGTCATGTGGGGTAACTCATTGCGTCAACCCTAATAGACCACTGTCATGCACAAAATTTCAAAAATGTTATAGACAGTCATGTGTGGTAACTCATGGTGTCACCCCATGGATCTTCCTGCACTAAACTTCAAGCTTTTAACGATAGTCAGTATGGTTTCACCCACTCTGATGGGGTCATTCGGGGCGGTCCGCACTCTCGCACCCCCCACTAGTGACGCCACTGTGGACATGCAGCTGAATTAAATTGGGAATTTGACATAAAAAATATTATGTTTTTTAATGGCACATTTAAAATATTATAGGAAACTTTTCTTGACGCAACAATCTATAAACAATTTTTCTAATTTAATTCTAATCCCAAGATCAATAAAACAAACATCTTTATTCATTGCAATATCTACAGTTTTTAGCAAATATCACACGAGTGAAGAGGAAACATTACACTTTTTACGAATGGCGGAGCCACTCCAAATAAGTGTAGAGTTGTTTTTATATAGAGTTTGTAACAACAAAAACAATTGATCTCCTTGAATGTTTTCCTTAATTATTAAAATAAGTTCCTACACTTAACAATAATTTTGATTCAATGACTGGTTACTGATGTAGCGTTCATATTTAATGCCTTCCTATTGTCCATTTTGTCAAAAATAATAACTGCACTTTTATTTCTGTTAACACATTTTATGCGCTGATTGGTAGTATTGGAGATAGGGTAATGTAAAACTATAACATTTATGTCTGAAGGACTTCAGAGAGTAACATTGTTTGGATAAAGATTTGAATGATTTTGAGTTTACATATGAGAATATGTTGTTCTTTATTTTATTTCGTTCTTTATTTCATTTCAAACACGAATATTTAAAATATTTTAATGTCACAGTTCTACAAAAAAATGAGAGAGAGAGAGAGAGAGAGAGAGAGAGAGAGAGAGAGAGAGAGAGAGAGAGAGAGAGAGAGAGAGAGAAAGAGAGAGAGAGAGAAAGAACAATGAGGACATTCGCGATTTGAGTAAGTTATTGAAATATTATTTGTACGGTCTTGACTGTTGCAATTTATTAGTAGACGCTGAATCCAATTTTCGATTGCTACCTTATTTCGGTTTGCAATCAACAACTAATCGGCGTTCCATTTATCCGTCGGGTTCTAACACAATTTTGGCGCTAGTTAAAGTGCTATTTAAAAATGTATTTGCTATATTTAATTGCGAGCTATTTTCCCTTAAAAATGCGTACCGTTTGTCGTACACGTATTCTGCAGGATACAATACCACTTGAGTTTAAAATAGCAACATGCCATACTACTACTATTACTACAACAACAACAACAATAATAACTACTACTACTACTATTACTACTATTACTAATGATAATAATAATAATAATAATAATAATAATAATAATAATAATAATAATAATAATAATAATAATAATAAAAATAAAAATAATACGGTATTAATATAGCGTCTATTATTTAGAAGCTCTAAGCTATTTGCAACATTAGATGACATATATAAACATATGCAAGGACAATATGACAAACAAAACACAGTTAAA